AATCTTAGCACTTGGGAGGCTGAGACAGAAGAATTGAAAACTGAAGGTCAGCCTGGACTACGTAGTACGACCCTATCTCAAAAACAGAGTTGAAAGTGTGGCTCCAACTAGAACGAGGCAGAGACAAAACAACAATGAATACACACAAAAAAAGTGCAGAAAAGATTTAAAGTACTAACAAGAAGGAGCATAATAGGTAGTCAGGTGGCCATGGTTCACATCTATATTCAGGAGGTTGAGATAATAGTTCAAAGCCAGGGCTGGGAAGATGGCTCAGTGGTAGAGTGCATGCCTTGCAAGCATGAGGCCCTGGGTTCGATTCCTCAGCACCACATAAACAGAAAAAGCCGGAAGTGGCGCTGTGGCTCCAGTAGTAGAGCGCTAGCCTTGAGCTGAAGAGCTGAGGGACAGCGCCCAGACCCAGAGTTCAGGCCTCATGACTGGCAAAAAAACAAAAAACAAAAAAACAAAAAATAGTTCAAAGCCAGCCTAGACAGAGATACTCTATGTCTAATTAAGCCACAAAAGTCAGGTGGGAGCTGTGGCTCCAGGTAGTAGAATGCTAGCCACAAGGAGAAGGCCCTAAGGTCAAACCATAGTACTGGCAAGGGCTGATATTCTGTAGCTCATCTTATCTGTACTTCATTTCTACAATACCTACATGGGAAAAACAACTGTCTATGGATTTTAGATTTTATCCTGAAAGTAAAGGCCAGTGAAAGGGTCCAATAAAGCAATTTGTCTTCATTTAAAAACAAAACTCTGGCTACCACATGGTTCATAAAAACAACCTCTATCAATGAGGGGAGATGAGAGTGACCTTGACTAGAAACATTTAAGTAAATTAAAAGTTGACAGAGCTCAAGAATCTACATTTTAGCTGGGCACCTGTGGCTCATGCCTGTAATCCTAGCTACTCAGGAGGCTGAGATCTGAGGACCATGCTTCAAAGCCAGCCCAGGCAGGGGAAAGTCTATGAGACTCTTATCTCCAATAAACCACCAGAAAACTGGAAGTGGCGCTGTGACTCAAGTGGTAGAGTGCTAGCCTTGAGCTGAAGAGCTGAGGGACAGCACTCAGGCCCAGAGTTCAAGCCCTGCGACTAACCAAAAAAAAAAAAAAAGAATCTACATTTTAATAAGCATCTCAAAGGATTTTTCCTTATTAGTCTTTAAGAATTCTTGAATTAGTTGTGCTTTCAAAACATTTACATTGTTGGAAGGGGTGACATAGATCAAGATGTACTGTACTTACAGAATTGTAACCTCTTTGTATAAACTACCTAATAATAAAATTTAAAAATTAAACAAATCTACATTTCTATGAAACTTCAAGTATCCACTATTAATCACCTTTGAATCTGAAGGCTTGGAGCAGTCTGGCAAAGAAGACAAAAATAAATGTTTACAGTCATGGATGTTTACAGGCTTGGATTCAAATCTTGTTCTTTTATTTGCTATCTTGCTATCCTTGGCAGGTTAATTTTTCCAGATCTCAATTTCTTCACTGATGACATATAGATAAGATAATTTTTATAAGGATGTTGTTGCAGTTAAATGGGTCAGTCATTACAATGGTAGAGGAAGGCTATCATTCTTTGAAATATTTATTGAGGCCTACATACCATTTATATCAAGATAACTAGAACATTAGTAGGCTCTGGGCTGCATATCATGGATACCAGGATGAATGAAACATGGTACATCTTATTAGTTTGTTGTTTTCTAGTTTTTGCTTCTTTGAGATTAAGGTTTGAATTATTATTATTTTTTATTGTTAATTGTGGGGACTGAACTCAGGGCCTGAGTCCTGTCCCTGAGCTTTTTTGTTCAAAGCTAATGCTCTACCACTTTGAACCACTGCACCACTTCCTGTTTCTGTGGCTAATTGGAGATAAGAGTCTCATAGACTTTCCTGCCTAGGCTGGCTTGAACTATTTTTTAACCCATTTTTAGCCCATGACTGTTTTTCTGTCAACACAAAATAATGTATACTCTCCCCATCCCAATGATCTGAAGCCTCTTTATCATTATACTTATGCCAAAGTACTCAGCTTCCATCATAGCCTTAAACTGAATCTTATCTAGTCTCACTGCTCACCAATCCCACATACCCATATTATCAAAGCTCAGGTAAGAGCATGCACTCTAGTGTTAGCATAAGAAGGATGTAGTTCTACCCCTTCCAGTAGATAGGTAGCTTTGGCATAGAGATTAACCTCTCTGTGCCTCAGTTTCTTCATCTGTGAGTTGGGGTAACAATAGTGCCTACTTCACAAGGACTTTATGAGTATTAGATATTGAATTAACATAAAGGCCATTCCTTTAAAAAGGCCTCCTCTCCTAACTTCTTAACAAACTGGATTAAATACCCTGGTTAAAAACTGTTAAACAAGCCAGGCACTGGTGGCTCATACCTGTAATCCTAGCTACTCAGGAGGCTGAGATCAGGAGGCTGAGATCTGAGGATCGTGGTTCAAAGCCAGCCTGGGTAGGAAACTTATGTAACTGTAACTCCACCTTTATAATAACAATAATATTAAAAGAAACTATTAAGCATGCAGGGACCTGGCTTTGTAATCCTAGCTACTTGGGAGGTTGAGATCTGGGAATCAGGTTTTGAAGCTAGTCCATAACACTTTTATCTCCAATTAATTACCAAAAAGCCAGACGTAGAGCTGTGGCTCAAGTGGTAGAATACTAGCCTTGAGCAGAGAAAGCTAAGGAACAGTGCTTTGAGTTCAAGCCCAAGGACTGGTACAAAACAAACAAAAACCTGTTAAAACATCCTCACTCACTTTTATAGCACTTACAATTCAGTGTTTACTCCATAAAGATAGGGAATACCACTCTCATACTACCATATACCTACTCTGGTACTTAGCATATTTTGAGTTCATAGCAGCACTCACAAAACATTTTGAGTATTTGATGAATGGTTTCCTAAATCTTACCATGACAATTTTTAGGATGCTAACATCCTCTAAGCCACTTTCCTTTTAAAACTTCTTGCATTTTCCCCCAGCGCCAGTCACATTTCCAGGTGCAGAACTCTTGGCCCCTTTTGCTTTCTGAGATAACATTTTCAGAAATTCAAATTAAGAATTTAATAAACATAGAAAGGGGATGTCGCTTTGGAAAGTTCTTGCCTAGCATGCAGGAGACTTTGGATTCAATCCCTAGCACTGAAAACAAAAACACTTTTAACAAATGCTGTAAATTTTAGCTGTCAACTACTTCTTTTATGTATCTAACATTACATATACAGTTTACAATAGTTTCCTGCAGAACAGTACTGCTTTCTAGACCACCTGCCTAAAAAGCATGTTTTATTTACCCCACAGATTCTCATTTTAACCCATTCAGAAATAATACTCTAAATTTCTCAGCTTTTCTAAATATTGGTCTTTCTCATGCATGGGCTAATCCATTGCACTTCTGAACATGTCTGATTCTTTTAAGTAAGGTAATTTGTTACTATCAACAACCAATCATATTCAATGTTGGGTGTTTCACACATGCACCATTAAGACATTTGCCATCTTGACTACTTTATTTGCACTAGAATTAACCATTATGGTCTGGCTCCAGAGTCTTAACCCTAATGACTTACTAACTGTATAACTTACTTTTTTTTCACCCCCCCCCCCATCCCAGCCAGTCCTGGGCTTGAATTCAGGGCCTGGACACCTTCCCTGATTTTTTTGATCAAAGCTAGCACTCTACACTGGAGCCACAGCTCCAATTCTGGCTTTTTTTGTTTGTTTGTTTGTTTAATTGGAGATAAGGGTCTCACAGACTTTCCTGTCCAGGCTGAACATCCATACTCAGATCTCAGCCTTCTGACTCACCAGAGCCTGGCTACTTTGTTACTCTTAATAGCTCTGTGTCTCAGGTTTTTTTCCACTGGAAAAGAGGAGTTATGATTTCTAGAACTGGGAGAAATATCAGTAAAGCGCTTAGAATGGTACCTGGCATGCAGTAAGTTTTCAAAAATTAATGACCACTCTCTATCATACACAACCCTTACCCTTCCCATCAACTGCCATATTCTCTTGTAGTACTGGTCAACTACAACCAATCTGAGATTTCACCCCTCTCCCCCCTTCAAATCTCCTAAGGCACCTAGAGTCTGTTTCCAAGTGAAGAGGTCTTGGGTAAGGGTACTTCATCTGACTTTTCAGTTTTGTTCTCTGTAAATGAGAGTAAACGCTGCCACCTTCCTTGCACAAATCTGAACGACAGAGTATATATACAGAGCTAGCTCACATGCCTTTTCTGGCTTAATGCATAGGATGCTCACGTCACACCATGGGACAGATATTTTATAACTAAGGAAACGGGATCTGGGAAGTTAAGACTTGCCCGGATCGCTACATGGTAGCATCAATAACTAGATCGAGGTTTCACTTCGAGAGAAAACGTTTTTCAAAGATCACGAGCGCTAGAACGACATCCACGCATGCCGTCTGTGGCATCCCGGTGTTTGATGAACGGCAGGATCCGGCTGTCAGTCGGCTGCGGTGATGCCCACTAAGACGGCAACAGTGAATTAAAACACAAGGTTTGTTAATACCACTGTCATCAGGTCCACGGCTGGCGACTAGGCTGAAACTGCAGTCAATCAAACAAAGGAAGTGACTTCTCCAGTCTCTGGAGGAAATCGCTGACCGCGACGGTGCAGCCGGGGCTGGTCCCCGTCCAGGCTAGGCGGGAGGAGGCCAAAGCCACGCCTCGGGTCCGGGGGCCCCGCGCTGCGCCCACCCACACACCCGTCCGCCCACCCTCACCTCCGGCTCCGGGCGCTCCGAGGCCATCGTACAGCCCACCAGCACCGGCCTGGCCCGGCCCGGCCCGGCCCAGGGAGGCTGTGCCTCTCTTGACCCCTGACCTGGCTACCTTTGCCCCCGGTAGGAACCGGAAGTCACTGGGAAGGCCGAGTTCCGAGCTTTCTGATTGGTGAATGAAGCTCTCGGGCGGAGGTGCCTGAGGATCGAGAAACCGGAAGTGGCGGTCGCTGCGGCTGCTTGGGCCGCTGCGATGCAGGTGAGGAGGAACCTAGTTGATTCTACTGGCAGCAAGTTAACCTTGGGCAGCCCGACTGAGAGCGGGCTGGCCGAGGGCAGGGAAGAGTTGGTACCTGGCGGAGTGGGCAAAACTCGTGGCTGTGGCGGGAAAGCGGACGGGGGCGGGAGGGGAAGCGAGGCCTACGGGACCGAAAGCAGCGCCCTAGAGACATGGGGTTGGTTGAACCCGGCTGACGGAGGGACAGCTCGGCTAACCGGGAGGAATGAGGCAGCGCCGACCTGCCGGGGTCCGAGAAAGGATCAGATAGTCTTTTGGAGAAGCTGAGATAAAATTCCAAGGAAAGACAGCTGAAGAAAGGGGTGGGCTGACTCCGACCGACCTGGGCTGTTGGATACAAGTACAATAGGGAATCTAATTGGGGAGAAGCTGAGGGCTGAAGCTACGCTGTGTTTGTAATCTGATGCTGTGGGTGGAACCCAGGATTAGGTCCCTGTCAAGCATCGTGTTGGGTTTGCAAGATGATTTTGCATCCTTCTTCCCAGCTCGTGCCCTAATAATCGTTGAGGGTGAAGGACTGATATAAAATGGGAGACCACAGATGCTGTATGACAAAGAAATGCTTTGCAGACTTTCAAGAGATAAGAAACACATACGAACTTTCTTGGTTTTGTTTTTCTTTTAGCGTATGCACCTGTGAGAGACTTCTCACTGCGGTTTGAACTCAGAGCCTCATACAGATTCTCACTCAGTTCTCTTTTTCCCCCACCCCATCAGGGCTAGTACTTTACTATTTGAGCCACACCTCCACTTCCAGCTTTTGGCTGGATAATGGAACTCAAGAAACTTGCAATTTTGTCTGCTTAGGCTGGCTCTAAATGTCAGTTCTCAGATCTCAAGACGCCTGAGTAGCATGGTGTGAGTAGGTGGTGTGAGTAGGTGGGGTGAGCCACTGGTGCTCTGCTTTGGTAAATGTTTGTGGCTCAGCTGAGCTTGTGAAAGGAACACAAAAATATTAGCACAGAGTGAGTACACATTAAGTCATCAGGGAGAAGATTGAAATATCAATACAAAGGATAAATGAAGAGCTGAGAGGCAGGACAGAGCTAGTGTTCAGAATATGCCTATGGCAAGGGGGTAGCTCAAGGAACAGGGGACCTGCCCAGCAAACCCAAGGCCTTGAATTCAAACCCCAGTACTCCAAAGCAGAGAAAAGTCATCAGACATATTCTAAGACAGGGAAAGATGGTATACATGTGGTTCAGAATTACCCATTAGATAAACAACTTCAAGAATTAGGTCTGACAAGTACTTCTCAGTGAAGCAGAGCAGGGTATATCTAATGCTATGCTATATTTAATGCTATGCACGGATTAGGAAGCGTTAAGAGAAGAAGTAAGTTGGTAGGAGGTCAGAGTTGATGCTGTCTGTAACACAAATGCCAAAGATAGAAAACAACATAGCTTTTCGGCTTTCTTCTGAATGTGCTACATTCATCTATCTGGGTAACCAGTCTGTTACTCTTGATGCAGAGGGAGGAGAAGCAGCTTGAAGCATCATTAGATGCACTGCTCAATCAAGTGGCTGATCTGAAGAACTCACTAGGGAGTTTCATTTACAAGTTGGAGAACGAGTATGACCGGCTGACTTGGTAAGGGTTGCCAGGACAAGCCAGGGAGGGTTTCATGGGTGGGGGACCAGACCCCCTGATGGACAGGACATGTGCAGTGATGTAACCATTTATCAAACATCTCTTGATTTGGAAAGAGCCTGGTTGCCCAACATTTAATGCATAGTTTGGCTTACAGTCTCAATGGCAAGGAAGTAGAGAAATGCCCAGTCTCTTTAAACAGTTTTTTTCTAGGTTTTGCTTCTTATTCTTTGATTTTTTTTTTTTTTTGTAAGGAGGTCTTCCTTCAGTGGAGAAGCCTCTTAGCTCTTTTAATGCCAGATTTGTTTCCACAGTTCTGACTGAATGTTAACATCCAACCTCCTCTGAAATTGTGGATCGTACGTCTTGGCTAGGATAAAAACTTTTATCCAGTTTCTCAATTTTCACTTGTAACAGTATAGCCATCATTCCTGTTTTACCACTGTTCTCAACCCAGTCAAACAGTGAACTATTTTTTGTCAGAAATTGAAAGATTATTCCCTTTTTCAAACTAGTATTACTGTTAGTTAATCTGGTTCCCATCTAGGCTAGTAGTCATAGGGCTGTCAGTTGTTTGGGGGTGTGCCTAGTCTAAAGGACCTCTTCAAGATTACAGGACAGAGAGAGAGTGGAACATTCTGATATACTTTTACCATCACTAGGCCCTCTGTTCTGGACAGCTTTGCCTTGCTGTCTGGACAGTTGAATACTCTGAACAAGGTCTTGAAGCATGAGAAGACACCTCTGTTCCGTAATCAGGTCATCATACCTCTGGTATTGTCTCCAGACCGGGATGAAGATCTCATGGTAAGAAGAGGAAAAAGATCCAACTTGGAAGTTCTTACATGAAAATTTAGAGCACAATTATTAATTGGCTATTTTAGGAGTTCTGGATGTGGGGTAGTGTGTGGCAGTAAGAAGCAAGGACTGGGCTGGGAATGTGGTTTAGTGGTAGAGTGCTTGCCTAGAATGCATGAAGCCCAAGGCTTAATTCTTCAGTACCACATAAACAGGAAAGGCCAAAAGTGGCACTGTGGCTCAAGTGGTAGAGTGTTAGTCTTGAGCACAGAGAGGCCCAGGGACAGTGCCAGGCCCTGAGTTCAAGCCCCAGGACTGGCAAAAAAAAAGTAAAGGAGAGATGTTTTGAGAGTTCCTAACATTTTCTTTCAAATTATAAATAATGCTTCTTGGGCTGGGAATGTGGCTTAGTAGTAGAGTGCTTGCCTAGCATGTATGAAGCCCTGGGTTCGATTCCTTAGTACCACATACACAGAAAAAGCCAGAAGTGGTGCTGTGACTTAAGTGGTAGAGTGTTAGCCTTGAGCAAAAGAAGCTCAGGGACAGTGCCCAGGCACTGAGTTCAAGCCCCAGGACTGGCAAAAAAAAAAACAAAACAAAAAACCAAGGACTATGTTTTGGAAATACTGCTTTTCTTCTAGAAATGAGAGAGTCAAATACCCTAAAATTTCTGAGACTATGTCACCAAGGCAAAAGAAGACCTTTCTCTTGTGATACTTGTTTTTTTTTGCGGGGGTGGGGGGAAGGGGGGATCCAGTCATGGAGCCTAAACTCTGGGCCTGGGCGCTGTCCCTCAGCTCTTCAGCTGAAGGCTAGCGCTCTACCAGTTGAGCCACAGCACCACTTCTGGCTTTTTTCTTTTTGCTTGTATGGTGCTGAGGAATTGAACCCAGGGCCTCATGCATACAAGGCAAGCGCTCTACCACTGAGCCACCTTCCCAGCCCGTGATACTTGTTTTGAGGGGGAAAAGGTCTGTGTTTTTGTGATCTTGTCTGTTCCAGTTTTTAAGTAATGTTTCAGAGAGAAAGAGAGACAGTTTAATTTGCCCTTAGGTGTGCTAGAGATAGGTTATAAGAAGACAAGTGAATGAGACATTGTCCTAGGAAGCTAGTTACTATATCTCAGGTTGTATTTTACACGAACATGCACTGTTTGCCTGTGAAAATCAGGCTCAGTCTTCTTGAATGCATAATAGACCTCATAAAATTTGTGTTACAGCGTCAGACTGAAGGACGGGTACCTGTTTTCAGCCATGAGGTGGTCCCTGACCATCTGAGAACCAAGCCTGATCCAGAAGTTGAAGAGCAAGAGAAGCAACTGACAACAGATGCTGCCAGAATTGGTGCTGATGTAGCTCAGGTTGGATGGAGCCACTGCCCTGCTGCCCCCATCCTGTCACAAGCTATTAGCACTCCTCTGTAGTAGGGATGCACAGCTCATCACACTTGGCTTGTCTATGAAAGAGCACAGAGAAGAAACTTCTTCATAATCATGTCCTGCTTACCTTAATCATTATCAAATTTGTGTTACAGAAGCAAATCCAGAGCTTGAATAAAATGTGCTCAAACCTTCTGGAAAAAATCAGTAAAGAGGAGCGAGAATCAGAGAGTGGAGGTAAAGAGGGGTTGGTGGCAAAACAGGGACTGGTATGTAAGATCACTGGAATAGGAATGGTGGTTCACCTAGTAAAGTGAAGGCACAAGCATAAACTGCTTAGGGAAGGATTTGCAACCATGTTAGTTTTCTGTGTTTAAAATCAATCTTGGAGCATATCAAATGACAAAGTGGGATGGAGACTCATCGATAGACTTGGGATCTTCTGGCTCTTTCCCTGAATTATAAGGGAGTCTAGATGCTACTGAAGTCAGAACTTCATGTCTTGGCAGTCATCACCAGTCTTTCAGCTGTTAAGTTCAGCTCAGAGCCAGACACAGATTTCAGGATGTCCACTTTTATTTCAGGTCTTCGGCCAAACAAACAGACCTTCAACCCTGCAGACACCAATGCCTTGGTAGCAGCTGTTGCCTTTGGGAAGGGGCTGTCTAATTGGAGACCTTCAGGCAGCAGTGGTCCTGGCCAGCCAGGCCAGCCAGGAACTGGAACAATCCTTGCAGGGGCTTCAGGACTGCAGCAAGTACAGATGGCAGGTGCTCCAAGCCAGCAGCAGCCAATGCTTAGTGGGGTGCAAATGGCCCAAGCAAGTCAGCCAGGTAAGGTGGGAGTGGTTGAGCTAATATATAGGAATGAAGTACATTAACTGGGCCCCTAGCATTCTCAGACCTGAAGATTTTCTCTTGTCTCCTCTGTTGTGACTCAGTGCAAAAAAAAAAAAAAGGTGACTTGGAAAATAATTTTCAGCAGTTAAAAAAAAAAACTCACTTGAGATTGTAGTAGACACTGGCTAAAAAACTTTGGACAGCAGAAACTGCTCTTGCCTCCCATCCTCATCTCTTCTGTCTCAGTTGTTCTGTCCCTTTTACTCAAGATATTAAGTATGTGGTCAGTGTAGAGAAATCAACAGTCAGATCTTATTCAAGACCATTTGTTAGGTAAATCACTTGTTGACAAGCAGGTACTTTTCCTACTCAGGAAAAGTAGGTATTCTTTTACTACTCTGTCTATTGCTCTAGCTCTTGGCTTCTTGCCTTTTTTTTTTGTGCCAAGTCTGGGGCTTGAATTTGGGACCTAGGCACTGTTCCTGATCTTTCCCCATCCTACCTCAAGGCGAGTACTCTACCACTTGAGCCATAGCTCCACTCCAGGTTTTTTGGTGCTTAATTGGAGATAGGAGTTTTATGGACTTTCCTGCTCCAGCTAGTTTTGAACAGCAATCCCCAAGTACCACGAGTAGCTTGGATTATAGGTGTGAGCCACCAGCACCTGACCTCTTGCCTTCTTTCGTGGTCACTTTTTAGTAATTTTAAAAACACTTTGGAGGAGTCCAGATGCTAGCAGAGATTTCCTCCAGACTTTCTAGGAGAAAAAAAAACAACCCTAAAATAAGAGCAGATAGTACCTTATCACCTATGACATTAAGCAGTGGTACCCCAGGTTTAGCTATCTTTTCCAGAAATAGATAAACAGAAAGTAATGCTCTGATTCTCACCATTCTACCAAATCACCACTTTCTTCTAGATAACTCCAGAAAGGGATCTACTGAAGAACCATAATTTTTTATTTTTGCCAATCAGGGCCAGAGGTTCTGAGATAATAAGATAAATGTCAGGAAGGAACCTGAGAGACTACATTTTTTTGTTTATTGTAAAAGTCTTACCTTGTTTTAGATGTCTTTCTTTGTGTTCCTTTTAGGGAAAATGCCAAGTGGAATAAAAACCAACATCAAGTCAGCTTCAATGCATCCTTACCAACGGTAGCATGGACAGCAGCCTCCACTCCCAGGTGATCTGTGGTGGGCAGTGAAATTACATTTTTCCTGTAGACCCCATAAAAAGAATACGGGCTCTCAGCAACACATCCCAGCTTCACTGGTGAATAGCTATGTGACAACGAACAAATAATGCAATTTTTCTGGGCCTGTTTTCTCATTTGTAAATGATGGTAATACCTACCTCATAGGGTTGTTGTGAGGATTAAAATGAGAAAAAAGATTGTAAAAAAAAACCCCAACAACTTAGCACAGTATGTGAAAATAATAAGTTCTCAATAAATGATAGTTTTTACAGCTATTTTTCTGCCCCTTCCTCCCCCCCCCCCCCCCCCCCCCCCCCCGCCCCTCCAGTCCTTGATCCTGATCTCATCCTGAGCTGATACTGCTCCATATCAATGGTGAAGCTGATCTGATCAGATGAAACCCGGGATAATTTTGTGCTTCCAGAAAGCAGCCTATATGTCTTGGAAGCATATTGTTTCTGTAAGCACTCTTGCTCAGGGTCCATCCTGCTGGCCCTTTAGACTGTAAGTGAGGAAGTTTCTAGGGTAGAACAACCTTCCACCTATAACTCTGATGACGCTTGGGCCTGTGTCTTCTGAACTGGCTTAAATCAGCTTTTATTTGGAAATGGATAATAGTCTCCATCCTTTCTTCTGCCCTATACGCAAGAAGAAAGGTGTCAAGGGACCAGTAGGTGGGAGATTTCTCAGGAAGTGCCTTTCTTACATTTCACTAAGCCACAGGCTGGTGATGGGAGGAGTAGCTCCATTAGTAGCTTTGCTTTTACAGAGCTGTAGAACAGAGTGCATTTGGGCAGCCAGCCATGTTGCCTTTCTCAGCACTCCTTTATAGGCAGGAATATGTATTTAATCAGCAAAAGTGAGCCAAAACAGTTTATAAAATAAAGTTAGTTACATTGATGTTCACTGGCTCAGGGTTATCTGACAGCATTTTATGAGAGTTAATATAGAGAATTTCAACAGTGCTTCAAAGCAATTCTAATTTGATCTCTGTAAACATTTCCTTGTCTTTAATTATCTTGGATGTGGAAACCCAGAGATACCCAGTTTATACCTGCCAAGTGTTGTTGTTTCTTCTCTAATGTCATACACTGGTACTTTGACCTTTGATCAGTGTTAGACAATATTCTACCAGACTGTGGCAGCAGAGGTCTAAAAAAGTGGTTCCAGATGTCACTTGGTCCATCAACACAAGCTTAGTGACCACACACACCGCAGCAGGGGAGTCCTGCTGTCATCTCTTGGGTCCCAGACCTTTCTCCCACTTAAACAGACTGACCTATCAGCCCACTGAAGTGTTATCTTCTCAGTTCTTCTCTTTCCACTCAGAAAGCTAACTTCAATATTGGGTAGACCACAAGCTAGATTTTTCTAGACTCCCCAGATCATCTTCCAGTGAATGTATCAACTCCATTGTATCAACTCCAAAGACTTTCGTTGTTTTTGTGAGAGGGTCTCATTATATAGCTCAGATCTGTGCAGAACTCTTAATCCTCCCCAGTGTTGTAATTAACAGGCATATTCCATGTACCTGACAAGTTTCTTTGTATCGCAGGCTGATTCTGAGATCTTATTTCCACCATCCTGTTGAAATGGGTTCCTTTTCCTTTAAAAGCAGAACATCTTCCAACAGGAATAAATGCAAGGCCTCACTTACATTCTGGGCCCTTAAGAAACACTCCATGCCAAGGAGGTGCTCACACCTCCCAAGTCACTGTAGGCACACACACTCTCATTTCCATCTCTTATATAAAGAGAAAACACAACTCCCTCTGTCACAACTCCTCTTTGAGGCCCTTATACCTAAGTGAACACCTCAATGGAAGGAATAGATCTTAACAGCCATGCCACTTGGTCCCTTGGGAGGGAGTATATGTGAAGAAGAGGACATTTATGACTGTTTTTTGCTCAAATTTAGATTGGCAAAAGGTGATTCTTGTCCTATTCTGGTATTCTTTTTTCTGATTCTGACCAGTTTTTCTCAGGGATTGCACTTTCTCCTACTTTTGGAAACTCTGGAAAAAAGGATTAGACTGTCTCCCAGGCTTGTTTCTGGGATGGAGAAAGAAGAGGCAGCTGTGAAATCTCAAGGGCTTACATAGCACAGTTCATCCCCTTGAAGGCGGGAGGTTATTGAATCAATGTCAGTATTATCATCCATTGCCTAAGACTTTTCCATGTCCAGTTCTTCCCTGAAGCTAAGATTCAGTCACATGTGAACTTCCTTTTACACGTTGCTCAGGTCACCTTATTCTGTTTTCCTTCCAGTGTGGATTGCTGCCCTACTTAACAGGTTCACCTCACTCAACCATTCACTGTTTTGGAAAATGTCTAAGATTGATAGATTGCAGTCAAGTGCTGTGTCTAGCTCTATAATAGATCCCAGCACAAGGCCTGAACTGGGGGAATGTGATTGTCCACCTCTGTCCTGTAGCTATAAGGAAGAAGCCGAACTCTGCAAGAATACCCTAGTACAAGGCTTGGCTTTTTTTCCTATTCCCTTACCACCTCCCCCAGGCAGCTGGAAACAACTTCTCCCTTTGTCTGATTTTCTTGTACAGAATAATCCTCCTTATGGACAATGTATTCTCTGTGTCTTGTGGACACAGGGGCCGTGTAAGCTGATCCCAGCACCGGGCAGGACAGAGGCTGAATCCTTCCAAATGCCCACCCTGGGTCAGTTCCTGATTACTATCCAGAGGAAACTAATAAGGGCTGTATTTTTTTTTTTCTGTCTGCCTCAGATTTGGGCTGCCGGTAGCCCCAAATGCTAGCCAGAAGTAGGACCAAGAGTTGTGGTCCATTTTCTGGTCATGCTTGAGAGTTCACAGCTCCAACTTAAAGAGGCTTGATTGGCTCTTTCATGAAAATCTGGAATGCTTGCACTTAGGGTTTGTCATCGTGTGGATGAAAGTTTTCTGATTAGAAAAAGGTGGCTCATTTGACAAGACTCTAGCGCTCTATCCTACCACCATGTGCTTTGTCCCACAGGACAAACTTCTGTTTTTTTCCTTGGACAATTTCTATTTCTATTTCCTTTTTCTTTCCCTCCCTCCCTTCTCCCCTCTTTCTTTCTCTCTTTGGTGCCAGTATGAGGGCATGAACTTGGGCCCGATTGCTATCCCTTTGCTTATTTGCTCAAGGCTAGCACTCTACCACTTGCCCAGCACTCTAGCTACAGCTCCACTTTCAACTTTTTTTCTGGTTAATTGGGGATGAGGGTTTTATAAACTTCTGCCTGGTCTGGCTTTGAACCACAGTCCTCAGCCTCCTAAGTAGCTAGGATTATATGGGTGAGCCATTGGCACTCAGCTGTTTTCTTTGTTCTTGAGTGCTTTCAGGATGTCAGCTACTATTTGGATATAGCAGCTTCCTAGGCACAGCTTGGACTAGTTTCCTGACTTTCTTGAGCCTCAGTTTTTTTTGGTTTTTGGTTTTTTGGTTTGTTTGTTTGTTTTTTTTTAACCTACATGATCCCAGTGATCTCTATAGGTTGAAAGTCTCTGACAAAATTGTGCAGACCTTTTGGTTTTTGTTTTGTTTTCCTTACTTATAGGGCTATGTTACATAGATAGGCCAGTTTTTCTAGATTAATCCTAATTCCCTAAGGCTTCTACAAACCATTCCCAAAGTTCACTTTTGCAACCACTTTTGCAACCTTTTGTAAACCACTTCCCTAACAGTTTTCTGACTTTCATACAACTCTCTGATAAATATTTAACAAAGAGATGTTACCATCAAGGTATGTGTATGTTGGAAATCACCTTCCCATAGACATCTATCTCTCCCATGGATAAGATGTGTGAATGGAGAGATGACTCCTTCAACAGAGGCATAATTTTAGACTTTTTCTTTCTTTTTTTTTGGTCGGTCGTGGGGCCTGAACTCAGGGCGTGGGCACTGTCCCTCAGCTCTTCAGCTCAAGGCTAGCACTCTACCACTTGAGCCACAGCGCCACTTCTGGCTTTTTTTTTCTGCTTATGTGGTGCTGAGGAATCGAACCCAGTGCCTCAGGCATGCAAGGCAAGCGCTCTACCACTGAGCCATCTTCCCAGCCCGATTTTAGACTTTTTCTCTATTACAATAACTTCCCTTACTGAACTAAATATAAAGTGCCCTGGGCCATTCTTACTTTCTGCCATTCCTCTGCCTTGCCTTGTTCGCACCCCAATTCTTTAGTTTGTGGTCCTTTTGATTCTTCATTGTGTTTTGTCCCTCCCCCACATCTTTTGTCATTTCTGGGACCACCTATTCTTTTTGTTGTTGTTGTTTTGTTTTGGTCTTGGGCCTGGGTGCTGTCTCTGAATTTTTTTGCTTAACACTAGCACTTTACCAGTTTGAGCTATAGATCCACTTCTGGTTTTCTAGTGGTTAATTGAAGATAAGCATCTCATGGACTTTCCTTCCTGGGCTGGTGTGAACCATGATCCTCAGATCTCAGCCTCTTGAGTAGCTAGGATTACAGGTGTGAGCCACCAGTGCCTGGCTTGACCACCTAGTGTGTGTGTGTGTGTGTGTGTATGTGTGTGTGTGTGTGTGTGTGTGTATACACGTGCACACACTGGAACTGGGGCTTAGACTCAGAGTCTCATGCTCTCTTTTTCAATCAAGGCTTACACTCTACCACTTGAGACATACTTTTACTTCTTGCTTTTGGATCATTTACTTGAGATAAGAGTTTCTCACTTTTCTGCTTGTACTGGCTTTGAATCATGATCCTCAAATCTCATCCTCCTTAGCTAAGATTAGCGGCAGGCATCATTAGCACTATTACTTAATGTTTTTATGTGTCTTCAGAGTTACAAATCCTTATTGGCTCTATATGCCCTCTCTAACTTAATTCTTTCTTTCTTCAATATTGGGGTTTGAACTCAGGACTTAGCATGTGCTAGGCAGGTGCTCTACTACTTGAGCCAAGTCTTAGCCCTTTAATTTACCAAATTTCCTCACAGCATTTAACAATACTGAACATTTCCTTCAAATCTCTTTTTCTCTCAACTTCTGTGTTCTTTAACCTCTGGCCCTTTCTTCTTTGCAACTTCTGGACTTTGGACCTTTGTATGCTTTTCTTTTTGTATGCTTCTTGAATGTTGTTTTTCTCTGACTTGTCTTTAATCCTCTTTTCTCCCAAAAACAAGACAGCCCAGATGTCTCTGCTGAGATGCAGATTACTGTCAAGTATCTCTACCTATAGGAGCCACAAGTTCCTTGGGTTCTGGATGTCCAAATCCAGCCATCCTCTCTGCCCCTCCCACCACCATAACTTCCTTTTCTG